TTGTAAAGTAAAATATCAGTGTCTAATAAAATATGTGCCATTAATTTAGTTAGTATGTATAAAGTTTGTTTAAAATCACATTCCTTAAGGATTTCTCGCTAATGATAACTTAATCAATTGCATATTAGTGAGTGAGTATAAATTTCATTTATAATTATTTTTTAAAATCTTTTAAGAATTTTCTGTTAATGCTATATACTATATTTTTACATTCACATTTTTTTACGTATTAGTGAGTGAGTATAAATTTCGGGATAAATATAAAATCCTTTGTTAGCATCTACCAATCAATTATACTTTTCTAACCAATCATATATTATCGTGTAGTATGTGAGTATGAAACCATTTTAAAGATCTAGCACAAAATAATTATAATACCTTTTAATCAATCAAACACATATCATTTAGTTTGTAAGTATTAAAAATTCAGTTTTGATTATTTTAAAATCGTGTATATAAGTCCTGATCTTTAATAATTTACATGTTATTACATAAATTAGTGAGTAAGTCCATTTTAATAATTTTAAAAGGTTCTATTAAAAATTAATGCTAAATATTATTTTTTGAAAATTGATCATGCTAGTGAGTAAGTAGAAGTTCATTCATAATAATTTATAATTCGAGTTTTTATTATTTATCACTAAAGAATACTAACATTTTCTAATTTATAATAGTCTGTAAGAATAAAATTCATTAATTTTGGAATTCGTTAAATATTAATAACTTTTTTAACAAAAATATTTCATAGTCTGTGAGTATAATTTCGCTACAATAACTTTTAAAATTCCTTTTCTTTGATGTTTGCTATTAATAAAATCATTTCCTAATTAATAATATGCCAGTGAGTGAGTATTTGCTTAAATATTTATTCTATGAGAACTTGCCACTAAACCAATTTTTTTATACTATTTTATAGTATGTGAGTATAAAGTTATTAGTAATAATTTTTAATGAATCATGTTTCAATACGGTAAATAGTAATGTATTGTTAATAAATAATATATTAGTGAGTAAGTATAAATTGATTATCTTCAAATCGTTTTTTTACAAGTATTTGCGATTTAATAACAATGATAATACTGTATTTCTATATATTACATACTAGTGAGTGAGTACATAATATAATAAATTTAATTTAGACCATACGAACTATATTTTTTTGGTTTTTTATATAGTAATTTGGCTAGGTCATTTTTTTAAAAAAACCTAGATATGAAAACCAAAAATGGTTTTGTATGGTCTTATCACTAAATAATATAATCTTCTAATTATTTAAAACTTATCATGTAGTCTGTAAGTATATCATTGGTAACAATTATCGTGCTTATAAGGATTTACTCCTAAATAATGCAATTTTAATTAATAATCTACTAGTTAGTAAGTATAAGATTATTATATGTTATGCTTTAATGTATAAGATCTTGCAATTAATTCATGCATCTACGAATACTAGTGAGTAGGTATAATGTTTATCAGTGAGTAAGTTATAAAATTATATCATAAATATTCACTAAATAAAATGTTACTATATATTGTGCTAGTTAGTAAGTGTAATTTTTTTAACATCATGATTTATAAATATTTTTCTGTTAAATAAGGCTTTCTAATTAATTAAAAACAAATTATTATAGCCTGTGAGTAAATATGAAGTTTGCTCGTAATATATTTTTTTATATTAGCGCATCCATCATTAATTAATCGTCTTTTCAATCTCATGTCATAGTCTGTGAGTACAAATTCATTTATATTATGTAATTTTTTTAAATTAGATGAGATTTACGTACCATTAATTACTTTTATTATAAATTACATAACTTAGTGTGTGAGTATAAATTTAATTGTACCATTTTCGATATAAGGATTTATAATAATTTCTAATAAATTATATATCAGAGAGTGAGTATAAGTTTAATTCTGTAATTATAGATCGTATTTTATAAGAATATATTGCTAATTAACGTTGTCCAATTATCAGTGAGTGAGTATAAAATTCATTGTAATAGATTTTTTAAAAGCTTTAAACAATTCCATTTTTTTTAAATATAAATTGTATTTTAGATAGTAAGTGTTATAATTTTTAAGATTAATTTTTTACAAAGATTTATCTCAATACTAATATTTTTTGAAAATAAAACTATACATTAGTGCGTAAGTATAAAGCTTATTTCATAATAATTATAGTACTACATTTTATTATTTTTATTGTAGATAAATACTTTCCTAATCATATATTAGCGAGTAAGTATAAAGTTACTTATCATAATTTATAAGTAAATTTACCATAAAAATAATTGCTCCATTCTAATTTACTATGTATCAGTTCGTAAGTATTGAGTTTATTTGTAAAAATTTTTTTAAAATCCGCTTAATCAAAACTTTCATTATATAATAATGGTGTTTTTATAATGATTCACAACTTTAAGGGTATGTCCGGAATGTGGCAAAGAAAATTGCGTATACTGCGATGTATGCAATCCTAAACATTGGGAAAAGAATTTCAAAAACTGGACAAGTGGTGACTCTAATATTGACGAGATAATTAAAGATACACAATTCTATGCAAAAAAAAACTATAAAATAATTGAATGGATAGAATTCTCCAATTTTAACAATATTGAATACATTGCTGATGGTGGATTTGGAAAGGTCTATAAAGCCATTTGGAAAGATGGTCCAATTGAAAATTATGAACCTTGGGATCCTGAAAAAGAAGAATGGAGGCGAAAAGCTAACACTACGGTGGCAATAAAACTATTAAAAGTAGCAGATGGCATGACGAGTTTGAAGCTTTCTAATGAGGTAATTCATTTAAATTGAGTTGGAGTTTGGAATCTGCTCTAGATAATTAACCGGTTGAAATAGTTATTCTTGATAATAGCTTAAATTATGATAGTAGATAATTTTTTTTTATCAACAAAGTTTTCAATACCAATAAGGCCAGATCAATGTAATTCTACGTTAACATAATCCCCTTTCTATTTTTTTTAAATTTTTAGATAAAAAACACATCACATTAACCAATCAAATTGCTGCATTAGTTTTTTTATAATTTTATATTTTTTGCAGCCGGTAGAATTACTGTAGTTTTTTTATTTGTTTTTTTTTTATGCGCTTCTTATAATTTACTTTATGTTCTGTCAAACAAAGAATTAATTTGGAGTGGCCTAACTTAGACGAAATTTATAATATTGGCCTATATTAATTTTAACCGACTAAGATTTTTTGGACAGTTTTAAGCTTTAATTTAGAAAACACATAACAGCAAAGAATTAACATGCAATAATTTTTTTGTTCTTTTTCTTTTATAGATTAAATGTAACTTGGAACATAATTCTTTATTTATAAACAGAGTTTACGGTGTGACAAAAGAACCGTCAACACAAGAATACGCAGTTGTTATACAATTTCAAGAACATGGCAATCTAAGAGATTTAATGCGTAAAAATCATGCCCAATTAAGTTGGAGCAAATGTATCAATATTCTTAGAACCATTTGTAATGGATTATCAGCAATTCATGCACAGAATTATTTACATAAAGATTTTCATAGTGGTAATATTTTAATTAATAAAAATTATAAAACAAGTATTGCTGATTTTGGGCAATGTCGTGCTACAGAGGAAAGTCAGAATAAAGAGAATCTGATTGGAGTATTACCTATGTGGCTCCAGAAGTATTGTTTGGTGGTCCGTTTACCCAAGCAGCAGATATTTACGGATTTGGGATTATAATGTGGGAATTCGTTTCAGGAGAATTTCCTTTTATCAATGAGGAGCATGGCAGTCAATTGGCTATTAAAATATGTAGTCGAGTACGTCCAACAATTCCAGATTATGTCCCTAAGCAATATAAAGAAATCATGGAAAGGTGTTGGGAACATGATCAAGAAGACCGCCCAACTGCAACAGAACTATCCGAATTATTTTATGATTTGTATAAAATCTTAAAAGGTGAATATCCACCATATAATCGAGAATTATCAAAATCTGATGTTGAAAAAGAATTTAGCATTGAGAAGGAAGAAAAATGGAAACAACAATTAGCTAAAGAATCTTCGTTGCCTCTAAAGAAAACACAACTATTATACACCAGTAAACGCATTGACTTTTTCAAGACACTTTCGCAGCATTTTTCGCAGAAATTACGTCCTAATAATAATGGTAAGTAATTTTACTATTTACAAATCTGATTTGAAAATTTACAATTGTATATTTTATTTATTTATTTATTTATTTTATAGATAGCACGCAGTACAAACTTGAGTTAAAAGACTTCAATCCCGAAATAACAGATATAGAAATAGAATAATTCTAATTCTAACAATTGTATTATTATGAGGCTTAATTTGATTCTGAGCTTCGTAACTAACTAATCAAAATTCAAATTAATAAATGTTTGGTAACAATTATAATAATTATATAAACATTTCCAACTATTTTAAAAAAAAATTCAATTTGACTTCTAAGTATCATCTTTTGTGATTATCGTTATAATAAACTATGTCTGACGTTAGTATTGTATAAGATGTCTGGTTGAAATAAAGTGAATCAGGTAAATATCATTACCTGATATATCTTCGATTAATAATGTCGTGCCATTTTCAGGAATATACAGTATCAAAACCAATAGAGCTGTCAACAAACTGATAACTATATCAACTTACCGATGTTTCTATCAGTTCTGCTATAAACCCGATAATGAAACGAATGACGCCATTAATCAGGCATATCAGGGTTGAAACAACTATAATATTTGTCCGACTTGTTTTATTTCGACCAATGTATATAATAAATCAATCCGAATTAGAACTGTTTGCAAAGTGATTATCCGATTGTTATAAATTGTTTTTGAGAATGGAGTGTTATTTTGAAAATATGAATATAAAAAGTCATTAATTATAAAAATATTTTATTTGCATTGAGTTTTTGATTAAGACAATCGCGAAATTGTTGAATTTTGATCAAAGATTCATTTGCAAACAGCAATTCCATTTAATTTGATGATATAGAAATTTGGATCTTTATTTAAACCATAAACTTATCAAGATTTATTTTAAATTTCATTGGATGATCAACATAATAGAAATTCTGTAATTGTGTATCTTTTCTAAGTGCTGAAATGCGGTTCCAAGGACGTGCTATCTATATAACCTTTGCATCTCTTTTTTTTTTTTTTTGTAACTACGTACGTACGTTTCTAGAGTGTCTAGGGTACTGCAGAATAAAAATTATTGGTGAATATTAGTCTATTGTGATCAAATTAGAATTTTCTTTTATTGTAATTTTGTTTTTTAAAGTATTATTTATATATCATCGCAGAATTTGCTAATTTAACGATAATTGCAGCAGAATTTTTCAGTTAGAGTAGCAGTACCCTGGACAACTCTACCTCCAAAAATGCGGTGGCGCCACCTAGGTTCAATATGCACAACAAGCAAATATGCAATGCAAAATTTTCATAGCAATAGCACAATAAAATCCAGTACTCATTCGTCTGCTCAACTATGGCAGGTGGCGTAACTCACATGACCCGTATTTTTGAAGGCCACTCTGGTAGAGTTACCCTGACACTCAAAATGTGTTTCAATTTGAAGTACGTAGAATGTATTTATGTTTATATTTAATGCATGTGCATTTAAATAGACATTAACTTTTGTTGAATTGTAAATCGTTATCTATAGTACATAATTGGAGCCATCTTCTGGAAGGAATTGCATTAGATTCTGATCAATTTCAATATTGAATTACAAAGAATTATTATTTTTGAGATATCTTGACCAGATTAAAATATTTGGTCGTTTAACTTTAAAATCTTGAAATGAAGTAAAATCTTGTTCAGCCTTCCGAATAATTAAAGTATCACTTGTGGAAGGATTTCGAGGTAGTTTTGTAATAGCTCTTGTAAGTCCTGTGAAAAGTTAATTACATTTCCTTAGTATCCAAGCTGCCCGCCTTGAAGCTTGTAAACAGGAAATATAGGAAGAATCTGAGCAATAATGATTTTTTTCAACTTGACTATGTTGAGAAAGTTCACTGGGAATTTTTTCTACAAATAAAAGTTTTAATTTACTTTTATTTTATTTTGATTTTTTTTTATAATACTTTTTTACACACTAGAATCCATCTACCACATAATCCCGTTTATGTACTAATACAATTTACAAATAAGCCAGAAATTAAATTTAAGTATTGAAACTGCATTGCGAAATTTCTTAAACTGGCATTCAAGTGGAAGCGACAAAATTTTGATTTTCTAAATAATCATGTAATTTATAAATAAATATTACATTCGTCACTTGGATTGGTATTTTTGATTAATACATTTCTGCATTTAGGTCAATTTATACGTCAATTTTTGTGTATTTTCGCTTTCTTTTCTGTTCTTTCATACATGTTCGAATTTTATATCAGGCTAATGTGTACTTTATAAAAATGCTTTATCGAGTATTGTATGCGACTACATTTGATTGCCATTTTTATCACATATTGAATGACTAAAATTGTAAACAAAAAAATAATAAATTTCCGATTTCCGGTGTAATACATGAAATCTGCAGATCACAATAATCTTTATAAAAATTCCTTATCGGTATACTGCGAGCACTTGTAGTCTACTACAATTGATTGGTTCTTTTGGCCACAAATTGAATGGCAAAGGTCGTAAAAAAAAATATTTAAAGGCTTGGAAAACGCTTAATAAAATACTCGTTTCTCTCTCACAATAATCTCCCTTCTATTTATTATTCATTCACCATTTAAAATTAGTCTGTCATTAATTTTTCGATTTCAAAATGACCACTCCTTTACCGCCTGGATGGGAATCTTACGTGAGTGATCCGATCAGTGTGGTTATTTATTTCATTGTGAAGTTTGAACTCATCGTTTATTTTTTCATTTAGGTTGATCCGTACGGGAGAGTTTATTGTATGTACAGTACTTTTATGTGTATTTACTATTTTTTTTTTTTTTTTTATTAAAAGTGTTTATAAAATCATAATTTTTGTTTAAAAAGATTATAATACAAAAACTCGTGTATCTCAATGGGTAATTTTTGCTTTTTATTTTCTTTTTTTATTAAGTATTTTTGTGTCATATTTAATAATTTTATTTTATATAATAATTTTATTTTATATAATAATTTTATTTTATATAATAATTTTATTTTATATAATA